CTGTCCAGTTACTATCTAATATTACTGTATTCTCATTAGTTGTATTAATACCTAGTAGGAAATAGATAAGAACTCGATAGAGTTTTATTCTGTCCATTTCATGAGCAATTGGTTTGCTTATTAATCAATTTAATATTCACATTTTACGCATCTTTTGTATGCAGTAACTGCAAGCAAAGGATTACATCCTGATTGGGATCCCAAGTAGTTTTCCTTCTCAATTACTAGACAGAAGTTAGTGTAACTGTTTAGTAGCTGCTCAAAAAATACATGAAATTTCTATCAGGGAGAATTTACAGAATATTTTGTTTTCTGTGCCGTTTTTTTAGACTGAGAATCTTTATTTTATCATAGATACTTTTGAAACGCAGCTTTTTTTACATTATGCACATATATTTTTTTTTTTATGTACAAGAAAGCTGGCAGGTGAATTTTAGCAAATGCACTTGATCGTTAAAGATTGAATCAAATTCGCTGTGTCGAGATCTCGCCTCCGATGTGCCGGGAACGGCGGTCAGCTGTCAGACTCTCGGCCGGAGAGGGAAAATTGCTTTTTAACTTTCCCCGTTTGCGACAAGATGCGACGAGTCGCATCCACCTGGCGGTGGTTATCTACGATTCTACTCATTCGGCTGACTCTCACCGGGACAAAATTCGATCGTCTACGTTGTTCATCGATTTGTTCTCTTCGGAGAGACAACGAACGCCCTCCTCCCCCCCGCCCCGGCTCGATTGGAAAATCATCGTGCTCCTCCACCTGCCTCGGTCTCGACCTACAGCTCCCGGCAAGAAGTTCGTATCTTCGGGTACTTCGTGCAACGTTGGAGTTTCCACGCGTTATCACGATTTTACAGTGTCGATTTCTACTGTTCTAGAAAATAAACGGTTACCTCGGACTTTCCTTGTGAACGAGGTGAAGGATACTCGAATGATATAACAAAACACTTAGAGCGATTAATGCAGCGAACATTTTATTGGAGATAAACTTGTACTGGATAATTCTGAGTATCGCTCTATGTAGCGAGCACTTTTCTTGAAAAGGATATTAACGTCAAAAAGATAATTACTCTTAAATAAAAAGACAATTACTTTTACGTAAAAAAATAATTATTCTTACATAAAAAGACACATTACGCTTTTTTTTTTATTGTATTAAGGAATTTATAATATTATTGATTTATTCCGCTTGTTTAACATACATCGAAACTTCAATAAAGAAAGAAAGAAAAATGTTTTGAACACAGACAACAAATCGATGAAATCATGGTTTAATATTGGGAGAGAAATGGCGATTTCGAAAATGTAATTATATTTGTACCGTTGAATCCACCACCTGTCGCAAGAATGAAAAACCGCCCTTTGAATAGGAGAGACAGAGAAGGATAGATATCCGCCCTCATCGTTTCTCGCGTTGGTCTTCATGCCAGATGCGACGATTGTGGTATTGCTGAAACTAATTTTAACGTGGATGACAATGCGGTCAGTGGATACACAGAAACCGGAGACGCGAAAACGTCGAAGCATGACGTTATAGTTCACTCCACGCCTCCGGAAGTTTCGCTGGGTCGCTCATGATCATTAAATAGATACACGGAGCGAATTGATGTACACGCGCGAGTTATTCGGCACGAACAAGCCCTTCTGCTCAAGTTACTCCAAAGCGTTCACCGCGAAGCGATATAGAGTTTGCATGAATGTAACTTATGTTTCGCATGCTGGGTTTCCGCTGGGTAACTTGCGCGAAAATATGTCAACGATAGCGATAAAGTTATGTTCCACATGAGCTTTGAAGTTTGGAGAAATGATGAAGCAACGATGAAATAATTTCGACCATCGGTTCTGCCAGCGATAAATAATTTATTTGTTGTACGCTTACGTTACCCAGTAAAAGAAAATCAATTTACTCAAGTTCTTATTAAAATTTTATATCGAATTTTTAACATATCTGAATATTAATTCAACATGCGGTTGTTAGTGAACATACAAGAACTGGAAACGAGAATACGTCAAAGCACAGTGTTGTGTGATTACTTATGTTACAATATTTGAATATTTTATGTTAAATTGATATTCAACATTTCTTTCTGTCAAAATAACATTTATGAGTAAATGTGAATAAATAATATAATCATAGTGTAAAATGTAAATTATAAGATAAATGAATAAAACATACGTGTTGATTTTACATATCATAAATGTTAATTTTACTGAAAAAATATGCTTCCATAGTTTGCTTACACATTGTGTTAGTATTATATTTTTTGTTAATTTTCTGCATAATATTTATGTTTTTTCCTATTATATTTAACTTGTGTAAAATTAACACAATTTGAGTGGACCGTTTGGGATACATGAAATGTGTTAATACATATATTTATATTTATATATATTTTCTGTACATATAATTTCGTCTACGTTAAACAATTAATCATATTAGTGTGCGTGTTATAAAATATGAAAACATTTATCGTGTTGAGAACTTTGCTAGATTTATTCTTTGGTACATTTTACCGCCGTTTGATTTTGTTATTTCGCAATGCGAATGCTTGGTCCATTCAGCTTGGTTACAATGAAATCATATTGCGAGGTCGGTCTGTTACCACCACCAGAATTCGATTCCATTGAGAGTTAACGAATATGGAATTTCGAATTTCGATATGTAGCTGTAAAACGTTAACGCGGGCCCGAGCAGGCCGCAGTAGTCCCCTTCTTTCGTTCCTTTGTGTTAAGTCCCTGGAGCATTTTGGTCTGCGGGGGATGCTGTCGCGGGGGTAAACTGGAAAGCGAGATACGTGGACGCGAGGTGAGGGAGGGAAACGCAAGAAAGAATACCGCGCATAAGATGATACAATTTTGCATTTTACATACATGCATGATGATCGTCCGGCTGCTAGAAGCAGGAAGGGATCGCTATACGGATGCTGCGAGGGAGATACAGCACCGAATGGGGTCAGAGCGAGTCGAAGACGTTAGTTATATATATCATAAATCGAGCGGACATGTGAGAAAAGAATCGAAATCGAGGTGAAAAATGATAAAAGCGGAAAATGTCAAATAACTATATCTAAATATTAAACTTATAAATGCGGCGGGTATAATAAACATTCTCAGCAATTATTATGTATAACATAAATAGTAATATAAAGGCTCCGTAGTAATTAATCTTACAATTAATCTTGCTTTGAATTTATCGAAAGTGTGACAGAATATTTGTCCAGACGTTCACGTTTTGCTTTCCATAAATTTTCATTGGTTACTGAATTGAGTTACATTTGAATAAGCTGTGAAAACCACCGTAAGGAACAATAAGAAGGCTGTTTCTCAGGATTTAGGATGTACATTTGAAACGGCATATTTTCGGAAGCGAAAGTGAGAATGGAAATTCAAATACATTCGAGACGCGAGTCCAGGGCGGGTAGGTCTCGATAATATCGCTACAACGTGAACCTACCCTTCGCTCTGGAGACAATGCCCCATGCTAATCCTGCCTCTGTTACAATTTCATAAGGG